GAATCGGACTGTGATCTGCAAGGTCAGCAGTTTGAAACTACCAGCTGTTCTGCAGGAGAAAGAGGAGGCGTTCTGCTCCCATAAAGATTAACAGCCTCAGAAACCCTGTACAGGGTCCCTATGGGTCGGAACCGACTCGACAGCACTTAACAACAACAACAACAAGGAGCTCTGGTAGCGTAGTGGTTACAAATTGGGCTGCGGACCGACTCGACGGCACTTAACAACAACAACAAACCAAAACATATATATGTTTTATATATATATATATGTTATTTTCCTTATCACAGATATAAACAGAAAAAAAGCTAGAAGAAAATTAACCAAATCTGAAGAATTATATGTGATAACTATACTATCTTCAAATTTGTCATTGTTAAAATTTTGTTTACCTTGAACATGTTAGTTTTACAAGATGAAAAAATAAAAGAACAATTTTTAAAAAAAGAATTCAAAGGAAATAATTGTAAGAATACAGATTCCAAACAAAATTTATAAAATCACTTGCCTTTGTGGGTACCTTTGATCAAGGTTTCGATGAACAGCCATGAACACAGAAGCATATGCAAGGAGAAGATCTGAGCCTCAACTCAGGGCTAGCCAATTGTCCTGTACGAAGCACTCTTGACCCTAATGATGAGTGAAGGCATTATGTAAACACAGAAAAAATTTAGAAAAAAACACTTTCTGTGTTATGAAGGAAGGAAATGACCCATTAGGGATCAGGACTGCTCTGTGTGGGGAGCTGAGCTCCATTCCTGGGTCATTCAGGTGGCTGTGAGTTAGCAGGACTGAGTCACAAGGCTGCCCAGCTCCAAGGCAGCTCAGAGACACAGCCTCAGTGCACACTAAGGCAAATGGCCTCTGGCTTCTCTTCACTAACTGCTGAACAGCTTGCTTTTCCCAGGCCACTTATTGCCTATGGTCAGAGTGGAATTTGCTGAGTGGAAATGTAGGTTTTCCCTCAGGCTTCTGAGGAAAGGAGAAAAGGAGCTATTGGCCACCTCAATTTTAGCTCCTAGGCTCTCGCCCTGACAAAATTAGAGTTCCAGGTGGTTCTTTGACACTTGTGGGCAAGCATCATGGTTTTAAAGTCTGAGTTTGCTTGACTGTGCTCTGTACATGTAATTTTTTTTTTTTCTCATAGAGATGGTACCCAGAGACGATAGACTTTGACAGATCTGAGTTTAGGTTTTGGATATTGTGTCTTGGTTATAATTTCTCTCTCTAGTATCTTCCTATTGTCCTCACCCTCCCTTGATGCACTTACTGGTGACCTCACACCTTCTTACTCTCCACATTGAGTTACATTGGTCATTAGAGTTGGTTGAAGGATGACATTAGCCTATTTAAAATAAAAAAATGAAATCCAAGTTAAAAACATTTTCTTAGTGGTAACGCCAAAACACTCTCCTTTATCCAACAATTTGGAAGCAATCAAAAGCCTGAATGAACAACCAGATGTTGAGTGTACCATAAGCATGGGTTTCATGAAGTAGCAAAAGGAAAGGTATTGCCTTGAGAGTTTGTTTTAAGATATAAGAATTCACATATGAGATTAATGACATTGTTCCACCTAACACAATCACCTGCATCAAGTTTGAGATGGATCCTTCCTCCTTCTCTTCTGAATGCTACTAAATTTCTCTGAATGCTACTTAGATTTTGCATTGCCTCAAAGAAGCTATTTAGCATTAAATGACCACCTTCCCTATAAACCACAACGTAAGTTTTACTGACTTTTTTTTACTTTGTACTTATCCACTCAAAATGCATTAAATTAGCCCAAATTTATCAATTATATTATAATGTCTTGGTAGTTCTAATTTGATTTTTTTTTCTCCTAATTTTGAACACTCAGGACACCATCTTCTTTTATTTCATGAGAAAGGAGTATCCTTATAATATATAGAAAGAAAAATGCTGTTTTTGTCATTAGTCCTCCTAATACTCTGTGGGTTTCTGTGGAATTACAAAAGACAGCTAAAGATTGCAGACATCACTGAGAAGTACATTTTCATCACTGGGTGTGACACGGGATTTGGAAACTTGGCCGCCAGAACTTTCGATAAAAAAGGATTTCGTGTAATTGCTGCCTGCCTGACCGAATCGGGATCAACAGCTTTAAAGGAGGAAACCTCAGACAGACTTTACACCGTGCTTCTAGATGTGACCAACCCAGAGAACGTCAAGAGAACTGCTCAGTGGGTGAAGAACCAAGTTGGGGAGAAAGGTGGGTGATGTCAGGAGGTAAGCAGTACTAAATAAATTGCATTCATATTTTAAATGACCTTTATAAAAACATGTCTCCTAAATACCAGCTGTGTAAGGAAAACATCTTTCTGGCATTCTCTGCGTTCAACCAAGATTCATCAGACATCAGCAATGATAGCCCTCATTCCACGGCCTCTTCTGAATCTGCTTGAACCTCTGGAAGTTCTCTGTCAATGTGCGGGTGCAACCATTTCTGTATTACCTTTAATAAAACTTTACTCGCATGGAATATCAAAGATATTGTCTGATGATTTCCGCATTCCGTTGGGTCACCTCTCTTTGGAATGGGCACAAATATGGATCTCTTCCAATCAGTCTGCCAGATAGTTGTCTTCCAAATTTCTTGGCATAGATGAGTGAGTGCCTCCTGTGCCGCCTCACTTTCTTGAAATATTTCAATTTTTATTCCATCAATTCCTGGTACCTTGTTCTTTGCCAGTTCCTTCAATAAACTTGGACGTCTTCCTTCAGTATCATTGGCTCTTGATCATATGCTACTTCTTGAAACTGTTGACCATCAACCATTTCCTTTTGGTACTTTTTTTGATGTACCTTCCATCTTCTCTTGATGCTTTCTGCATCATTAAATAATTTACCTAGAGAACTCTTCAATAATGAAAGTCAAGGTTTGAGTTTTTTCTTCAGTTCCCCCAGCTTGAGAAATGCTAAACATGTTCTTCCCTTTTGGTTTTATGACTCCAGATCTTTGCTCATTTTGTTGCAATATTTGACTTTGTCTTCTCCAACTGACCTTTGAAATTTTCTGTTCAGCTCTTGTACCTCCTCATTTCTTCCATTTGCTTTAGCATCTCTACACTGTAAAGCAAGTTTCAGAGTCTCTTCTGGCATCCATTTTGATCTTTTCCTTCTTCTTGTCTTCTTAATGACTTTTTGCTTTCTTCGTGTAAGATGTTCTTGATGTCATCCCACAACTCTTCTGGTCTTCGGTCTTTAGTATTTAATGTATCAAATCTGTTCTTCAAATGATCTCTATATTCAGGTGGAATATATTCTAGGTCATATTTTGGCTCTGGTGGACTTGTTTTCATTTTCTTCAGCTTCAGCCTGAATTTGCATATAGCAATTAATTGATGGTCTGTTCCATAATCTGCCCCTGGTCTTGTTTTCACTGATGATATGGAGCTTTTCCACTGTCTCTTTCCACAGATCTAGTCAATTTGATTTCTGTGTATTCCATCTTATGAGGTCCATGTGTACAGTCATCTCTTATGCTGTCTAAAGAATGTATTTGAAATGAACAAATCATTAGTTTTGCAGAATTCTATCATGCATTCTCCAGCATCATTTCTATTACCAAGGCCATATTTTCCAACTACTGATCCTTCCTCTTTGTTCCCAACTTTTACATTCCAATCACCAGTAATGATCAATATATCTTGATTGCATGTTTGATCAATTTCAGATTGAAGAAGTTGGTAGAATTCTTCTATTTCATCCTCACTGGCTTTAGTAGTTGGTGCATAATTTTAATAAGAGTGTTATTAACTGGTCTTCCCTGTAGGCTGATGGATATTATCCTATCACAGACAGCGTTGTTTCTCATGACTGATCAGGATATGTTCTTTTTGACAATGAATGCAACACCATTCTTCTTCAATTTGGCATTCCCAGCATAGTAAACCATGTGATTGTCAGGTTCAAGATGGCCAATACCAGTCCATTTCAGCTCACTAATGCCTAAGATATCAATGTTTATGCGTTCCATTTCATTTTTGACAATTTCTAATTTTCCTAGATTCATATTTCATACATTCCATGTTCTGATTATTAATGGATATTTACAGATGTTTCTCTTCATTTTGAGTTGTGCTCCATCAGCAAATGAAGGTCCCCAGGGCTTTATTCCCACTGGCTTTACTCCATTCAAGTCATCATGGTCAACTCTACTTTGAGGAGGCAGCTCTTTCCCAGTTGCATTTTGAGTGCCTTCCAACCTGAGGGGCTCATTTTCCAGCACTATATCTGACAGTGTTTCTCTGCTCTTCATAAGGTTTTCCGTGACTAAGTATTTGGAAGTAGTTCATCTCTCCTTCTTCCTAGTCTGTCTTCATCTGAAAGCTCATCTGAAACCTGTCACCATGGTTGACCCTGCTGGTGTTTATTTAAATACCCATGGCATAGCTTCCAGAATCACAGCAACTCCCAAGCCACCACAGTACACAAACTGACAGACGAGTGGTGGTTGGTCCAGAAAGAGGCATGCTATTTCCCTTCACATCTCTCATTTAGAAACTTTCCTCATATCCTTGAGAGACCCACCTTTTACCTGATTACATTCTCTTTATATTTACATCTTTGCATTTGTATCATTAAAATGCTAATCATATTTTTCAAATCTATTGCTTCTAGATTATGCAATATGCAATTTCCAGTGTTTGCAAACTCATAGAGCTATATTCATGGTCACTCAAATGCACTTTTTAACATAAGTACAGTAGAAATTTAAAACTTGATCCTAGTATATGCATCTAATAGTTATCACTTCCTGTTATAAAGTGATTTTTGTTTTAGAGATGCATTTTAAGCTCCACCTATATGCTATTTCAAATCTTTTCTCAAATGTTTGGAAAGTGTAAGAAATTTGATCATAGAGATTAAATTATTTACTTTACATTTTTTCATTTAAAAAAAGAATACCAGCTGTGCATTTCTTTAAAATTAGGGCTTCTGAGAAGTTACAAATCTCAGGTTCTCTGTGTGCATTAAAATAATCCTCTCTTGAATCCAGTGAATGAAGTTAGAACTGAGGTGAAGGTATTGACCTTCCCTGCTTTTCTTGCTACCAAGGTACTTAGAAATAAAATCTCTGGAACAGTGGTGCAATCCCCAAATTATTATCTAGGTACCTGAGATCCTTATCTCACTCTACAATGGCATCAGAGCTCAAGTATTTTCATTATAAAAGATAGAAAATGGCTTGATAAATTGAGTACAAGTGTTTTACACAGTTGTGGTAGAGCAATCATTGGACACCCATTCTGTATTATGTGCTGATCAACAGCTGCATTCTGAACTAGATGACTTTAATTTAATTAGCTTGGAATAAAATCTGGAATATTCTCATGGATGAATATATTTGGGGGCACAAAGAAAAAAAATGTATGTGATTTCTCCCTTCACATCATCATACGGTTAAGACTCTGAACTTCAGAAACAATGATTTTATAAGTTCCCAGATAATTTTTAATGCTTCCATGCTTTGCTTTTTTTTTTTTCTTCGCAATCCCCACAATGTAACATCACTCATTCTACTTCCTCTCTGTGTTTCCCATCTCCATTCTTTCTCCTTTCCTAACCCTTCCTGTCTTCTGAGCTTTGTTCTTTGACAAATGATGCCCTTTAATCTTGAATGGTTGATTGTTCTAAGAAGAGTGTACCTCTCTGTATTACTGTTCACCTTATAGGTCTGTCTATTGTTTGGCTGAAAATGAAGCTACTAGGTTCCAGACCAAAGGGCCATAGTCTTAGGGATTCTGCCAATCACTGTCTGACCAGTAAACCTTCCAAACACTTTACATAAAAAGCTCCCCATCATACAAAATAGATTAAGTTATCTTTTTTAATTTATTTTACCAAAATAGCTTGATGTTGTTCTTTGTTCATATAGAGTATTTTATAAATATTCTCTTGCCTTCACATCTGATAAGGTGGGTTAAAAGACCAATTACATCTGAGATTAAAAAGTAAAAAGTCTCAGTCAGACTAGTACTTGGGATTCAGAAACAGAAATAAAATTACAGCAAGTTGGCTCCCAGTAACAGAACTTCAACACTTATTTCAATTTCAACTTAGCTTCCCACACTGTACTATCATTTCCCCAAATCACAAAGTATTTCTAAGTAGGTGTATAACTAGAAAGAGGAAATGGCATCATTGGGTAAAGCAGGGGCTGTGTTTCCATCAAAGATGCCCTTATAAGTGTGTGTTCATTAAGAGCATGCCAACCTCTACTCCTACACCTCCTTTCCTTCCTGTTTTCTAGGTCTCTGGGGTCTAATCAACAATGCTGGTGTTCTTGGAGTGCTAGCTCCCACTGATTGGCTGACTGTGGAGGACTACAGAGAACCTATGGAAGTGAACCTGTTTGGACTCATTAATGTGACATTACATATGCTTCCCTTGGTCAAAAAAGCTCAAGGAAGAGTTATCAATGTCTCCAGCATTGGAGGCCGGCTTGCATTAAGTGGAGGGGGATATTCTCCATCCAAATATGCAGTGGAAGGATTCAATGACAGCTTAAGGTAGGACAAATTCACTGACTATTTCTCCCATCATCTCCATTTTGCTATTAAACACAAGCAATGAATATTTATTTTATCAGGCTTAACTTTTTCATTAGGTTCTTCTGTATATCTTTTATTCATCTGTTGAAATGAACAGGAAGTTATGTAGTAACTTCTACATAACTACGTAACTTCCTGTTCACTTGAAGAGAGTTTTCACTTATGCATTTAAATATCTTTATAAATAGCTGCTTTAAAGACTTTGATAATTCACCTCAACATTAATATTTGAAGATGATGATGATGATGATGATGATGATGCAAGTTGAGATTTTTCTGGTATGCCATGTAATTTTGGATTGTATGCTGAACATGTAGAATATTATATTATGAGACTATGGGTCTTGATTAAATTCTACTGAGAACATTGATATTTTTGTGTTAGAAAACAATCCACCAGGTTGGCTTCAGTTCATAAACCTTCTGTGATTTGTGATTCCAATATTTGTTCAGTTTTCAAAGTATTATTGTGCTATTTGGATCTGTCCCACATTTGCCAGTAGCCAGTCAGTCTAGAATATAGAACCTGACCTATGTCACAGCTTGGTTCTCTAAGCCAGATCCATGCATTCACATGTGGAGTTCATATGTAACTTTATGAACATACATAGTCTCCTGAGCTCCATCTCTTCACAATCTCCCTAGTACATCCTGGTTTCCAGGGACTCCCCTCTACCCAAAAGCTGGGAATGTACTTACTCTGCTTTGACAGTTACTTCACACAACTGGACTCATTATGGGGCCAGGTGACAAGAGAAAGTGAGAAACAAAAACAACATGGTTTCTTCCTATCCTTTTGATACCACAATTCTGATTAAAGAGGAAATGTCCCATCCTTCAGTTTTAAGCACCTGCAGGCCCTTGTTGCTGATGCTATCGCTGCTGCTACTGCCATGACCACAAAATTGCCTGAAGTCGGGACTGCGAGAGATAAAATTTTTAAAAATGGGAATTGCCCCACTATGTCTGAATGTTAAGTTTTCCCTGACCTACTCCTTAGAAAATCCCTGGGTGGTGCAAACAGTTTTCACTTGACTAATAGCCTACAGGAATCCTGGTGTGGCACTGTAGGATAAGCATTGAACTGCAAGGTCAGTGGTTCAAACCCACCAGCTGTTCCTCAGCAATCCTATACAGGGTTGCTATGAGTTCAAACCAATTTGATGGCAACAACAACCTAAAGGTTGGCAGTTCAACACCCAGGCAGCATAAGGGGTCAACATGAGTCAGGATCAACTCAATGACAACAGATTTGGGCTTGCTTGGTTGGTTGGTTGGTTTGCCTGCTCCTCAGCCAGAACTATAGAGCCTCTGTGCATGAATTGTGTTTCTTCTGGAGCTCTCTCTACTTCTGAGATTACTTTAGGAGCTAGTTATAAACACGTGGTAGCTGTACAATAAAGACCCAAAGTATAGTGTATTGTCTGAGGGCTAATGACAGCAAGGACAAGGAAACAAGGAAGTTCCCAGAACCAAGAGACATAGACTCTGTCACCGTCAGTTGAGGGTTGAAATTAACCAGTGTTAAACTCACAGGGTAATAGCTAGCCCAACCTCTTTCTCCTCCCTCCTTCCCAGCAGAAACCAGCATGTAGTTAAAAAATAGGTCAGCCTCCCCAGGGTATAGCGTAGGCAGAAGAGTGGAGGAAAGGTCAAGAGGAATTAATGAAAGGTATTCCGCTGTGTGTTGCTGTCATAGGCAAAAGAGAAGACAAACTTATATACAATTTTTCCCTTCCACTCATTTATTTATCTATTTAACTGTTAGCCAAGGGTACGTGTAAGAGTTTAGGTTCTAAACTATGGTTTTAAATTTCACTCACTAACAAAAAGTTAGACTTTCCCTCTGAGATGTATAAAGATAGAACAATACCATGTTACCATTTGATTCAGGTTGCCAGTTTGACTCTCCCAGGAGAGAAATATAATGCTGTGATAGACAAGCCAACCACTGTCATCGACTCAATTCTGCCTCATGGCAACCCCATAGGACACAGTAGAACTGCTCTTTAGGGTTTCTGAGATTAAATCTTCACAGAGGCAGACTGCCTCATCCTTCAACTATGGAGCAGTTGGTGGGTTCAAACCTTTCAATTAGCAGACCAGTGCTTAACCCATGGTGTCACCAGGACCTCTTAATGCTAGAGCAGTGCTTCTCAAACATTAGTGTGTATTTGAATCACCTGGAAACCTTACTACACTGCAGATTCCTATTTAGTAGATCTGGGATGGAGGCTGAGACATTGTTCTAACAAGCTCCCCCCGGTGGCGCCAATGTTCCAGGGATCTCACTTTAAGTAGCAAGCCCGTGGAAACCGCCCATTTACTCCTTGGTTTCCCTTTGGTTCCATTCTATAAGCAGCAGTATTGTAACAGCCTGTTCACACATTTTGAGATTCACTCTAGAGAGTTCGTTCACCTGAAGGGCTTGTGAAATTCTGTTTGCAATGCAGTTGTACCATACCTGAAAGTAATGAATAAAAAGCTTTTATTTATTTCTAAATCATGGAACTGATGCTAGAAATGGTATTATGCATGCAGGCCAAAGTACTGTGGCAGCTCTAGTATTTCTACACATGCGTGAACTTAGGGATAGCAGTATAAGGATTAGAAGGGGACTCTTTCAAATTGTATCTGCCTTACAAGCATACTAGTTGTACTTACCTTGTAAACTTTACCTTGTAAACTTAGTTGTATCTCTAGATTGTTATTTTCACAGTAGGCAGGAGACAAAAGTTCCCTTTGGTGCATTTAAGTTCAAGACTCTAAGGAGACCAGACTACAAGCTAGTAAAATCCAATTAAATTTGAAAATAACTCTTTTTTTTAATGCAGGCAGCACATTTCAAAATCTCTCAAGGTCAAGCTAATACATATTTCGTAATAAAATAGACCTCACATTTCATAATATGTCTGTTGCTAGGAAACAGAATCCAAGATGAATTAAATCATAGCTTAAGTTCACACACAAAAAAAAATCTTTAAAAAAAAAACAAAAAAACTTACAGTGAATATTTCTGTAAAATTAATAATAAACTAAATAGAAAGTAAGTATTCATATACTGGTTTCCTTTTAAAAAAAGGGGGGCACCATTGTTCTTCTAAAACATGAATGTTTCATAAATGCACATATTTTGGGGGGATTTCAGCAATGTGATGAAAGAGCTTGCTGGGTGGCATTGGGAGCTAGTTAGTCATATTAAAGGGTGTCACACTGTGTGCTTGAGCATAGCATCATGTGTGCTGCAATCTCCTGACATTCCTAGAATGGAGATAAACTTGTCCTTCCAGGCTAGTCATTAGTCCATTTCACCATAAGATATTTGAATACTAAGAAGAAACCTGTCCTGAACCCCATGCCCAATAATTTAGTAGGTAGCCTGTCCTCTGGAGAAGAACATTAGCCTGGTGTGGTTCCACCCAGGTCCCTTTCCTGTTCTGCCACTAACCAACCCTCACTTCACCACCTTGACCTTCATCTTCATCTTCAAAATGACAGGGTAGAACAAAATGCTACTTTCAATACACCCAATTCTGTGATTCCATGAAAATAGTCAACCAAATTGCAATCGTTCTCCAAATAAATCTGGATTAAACATCTTCAATGGGTTCTTTTCACAGACGGGACATGAAAGCTTTTGGGGTGCATGTCTCATGCATCGAACCAGGATTGTTCCAAACAGGATTGTCAGATCCAATAAAGGCAAATAAAAAAAAGCATGCTATTTGGAAGCATCTGCCTCCAGACATCAAACAACAATATGGAGAAGGTTACATCGATAAAAGTGAGTTTCTGGGTGGACTTGGGACCCTTTAGGGAGACCCAGTCATAAATGATAAAACAAGGTCCCCAGAGTAATGCACCAGTAAGGATCTTAAATATAGATCAGTGCCATCTATTGCTTCTAGGAGTGATTATAACCATTTAATGAGCATCTGATAAGGGCCATGTTCTACCCTAAGGACCTTATGAATTACAATATACTGCTTACTGTTGGAATAGTGAATAGAGACTTAGAAAGGTGAAGTATCCTATCCCAGGCCCAAACCCAGTCTGGCTGATTCCAAAGCCATGGCCTTCACCTTTAAACGGGACCAATCACATACTCAGCACCCTTCAGCTTTATGGAACTTCAATAGAGAGAAGCCTCAGACTTTGACCATTCCTAGATTAAAATAGAATTGACACCAAAACATCACTGAGACAATGAGAAGTGAGAGGTGACATAGACCAAGTGATTGGGTCAGGGATAGAGAAATAATGATAAAGATTTGATCCTTATTACTAGTATATACTAAACATTCACAATGCAATGATCACCATTCCAAGTGCTTTACAGGCACTCTCTCATTTAAAATCTCCAAATAATCCTATGAAGTAGATACTATGGTTACATCCACAGAATGAAAACAGAGGTCCAAAGAAGCAACTTGTCTGAAGTTATACAGCGATAGAGGTGTATCTGACACCAGGCAGCCTGACTTTAGCGTCAGTTTTAGATGCTGGGTTACTGCATTGCAATGATTTAACCCCTGGTTAAGCATTCAGCTGCTAACCAAAAAGCTGATAGCTCCAACCCACCCTGGGGTTCACAGGGATAAAGACTGCTGCTGTAAAGAGGAGGCAGTTCTACTCTGTCACATGGCATCACTGTGAGTTGAAAAGCAACTCGATGACACCTAACAACAGCAACAGCACCACAGTGTGAACAAGCTTTCTGGCCTTGCTAAAGTCCGTTAGATATTTCTCATGTACTTCCTGAGCTCCTGCTATAAGCTAAACAGAGCCCCGCCTAACTTGGGGTCACCTTGTTCTCCCAAACTATAGCCTTAAAGTAAGTTTCTCTTGCTGGTTGAACATAGTCAACCATGGGAAGGGTCTAGGCCAGAAGTTCTCTAAGTGGGGCTGAGAGGAAAGTCAGATGCAACATTATTCCTCTAAGCAAGGGTGGGGAACTTTTTTTTTTTCTACCAAGGCCCATTTGGATATTTATAACACCTTTCACAGGCCATATAAAATTATCAACTTAAAAATTAGCCTATTATATTTGGTTAAACATTTCATTAGCTCACCCCTAAATGTTGGCCCAGGATCAGGCAGTGTTTCGTTCTGCTGTGCATAAGGTCGCTATGAGTCGGTACCAACTCGATGGCACCTAACAACAACAACAACAACAACAACAACACTCTGATGGCTGAAATTGCAGTTGCTTTGGCAGGGTCAAGCCCTTTGGACTCCTGGTATAACACTGTAGGATCAGAACTGGACTGCAAACTACAAAGTCAGCAGTTCAAACCCACCAACTGCTTCTCAAAAATCCTGTACAGGGTCACTGTGAATCAGAACCAATTCGACCACCCTTAACAACAACAACAATACAGCTCTTGGGGCAGATATTACCCACCCCTGCTCTAAAACCTTAATGCCCAGTAAATGAAATTTTTGTTTTAATTTTTGTGTGCATAAAAATCCCTCCTGTCCCTACCACTACATACACACAAATACATACATCATATGCACCAACCAGAACGTCTGGTTTGACCAGGCTCTCCAGCTCTTTGTGATATGCCGCTGTCATTAAATGCTGTTTTTCACTCACCCACTGATTTTGAAGGTTCTAAAAGGCGGAGGGTCAGAGAAAAAGAGGAAGACCCCCAATGATATGGACTGGCCAAATGGCAGCATAAGTGGACTCAAGCGTGGCAACAGTAGTGAGGTTGGCCCAGGATCAGGCAGTGTTTTGTTCTGCTGTGCATAAGGTCACTATGAGTCAGTACCAACTAGATGGCACCTAACAAGAACAACAAGTAGATTCAGTATAAAACTGATTAAGACTTTAGAAACATAATTTAGTAGAGCTTTCTTTTTGATCTTGACATTGACACTTTTAAAATGCCTATGAATATTTTACCAACTTTCTTCACAAAATTATTGTTGGCTTGGTCCCAGGTTCAGGTCTGTCTGGGAAGTGCCAAAAGGCATGGAGCCCAATTTTGTGCTAGTTGTTCTTAATAGAGGTTTCCAAGTCAGGACTTGGAGAAGAGCCAGACTCCCAGGCCCAAAGCTGACAAGAGGTAGAAGGTCAGCTTTCATTTCCCCAGCTGGAATTTTAGTTTAAAATAGTCCCTGAGATATATCGTTGCTGTGGTTCAGTGCTGTTGAGTCAGTTCCATTGTATAGAGTATCTGAGGAGTGGCTGGTGGGTTTAAACCTGACCTTGCAGTTAGCAGTTCAGTGCTTACATCACCACAGTTATGGACACTTAATTAGACCCTTTGGACAACTTGTGGTTATGGGGACCTGAAGGTTAAACTGAGAATTTAAAATCATACGTTTCCCCTTGAGAACACACAACTCAGGCATGTTTTAAGAGGATATGAGGAATGCTCAAAGTCATTGCCAATCTTTTTATAAAATACCTGCTGTTTTCAAGATATCTTGAAGACTTCTCGTTTGCCTGAGAACTGGGATTCATTGAGCTTCCTGAATCAGAGTATTTGCTGTGATTCTTTTCATTGAATTATAGAGGAATTACAGTATATAAGGAGTCCTGATGTGGCTCTGTGGGTTAATGTGCTGGACTGCAGTCACTTTGAACCTCAGGGTCGGCAGTTCAAGCTCACCAGCTGCTCCTTGGAAACCCTATACAGAGTCACTCTGGGTTGGAACTGACTTGACGGCACTTAACAACAACAATAGCAACAGTATATGAATCCACTCACACACACCCACATTATCCCTGACCACACTCACATTTCCTATAAACATAATATCCCATAAAAGCAAGTTAGGAATCAAACCCATAATTTCCTAAACTCAAGGGCCTCATGAAGCGTGTATGAAATATATTAAGCACCTTTCTTTCATTCCTTTGAAGCTTCTTAAACTGTGTGCCATAGACCAGTTGTTGTTAAGTGCCAATAGGGTGTCAAAAGAGCCTCTGGTGAGCTTGAACCACCAACCTTGCAGTTCAAGCGACTTTGCAGTCTGATGCATTAGCCCAGTAGGACTAATGCATCAGTATTAGGACACCAGGACTCCTATAGCATCAGTATTATCTGGGAGCTTGTTAGAAATGCAACTTTAGGGGCCCCAACTCTGGGGGTGAAGCCAAGAAATCTATGCTTTAATAGCGCGGTTCTCTGTGGTGCTCTAGGATAAGCACTGGACTGCAAACTGCAAGGTCAGTGGTTCAAACCCACCAGCTATTCCTTGGACAACTTATACAGGACTATGACTCAGAACTTCTAGGAGATTCTTCTGCATGTTGAAGTTTTAGAGGCACAGGTTAAGAAAGCACTGCTGCCGTGACAAAGGGCTTGAATTATATTGAGAAATTAATTCACTCACTTGCATCTTCTCCTTCCCACCCTGTCCTCACATTCTCTTTCCCCTTCTTCTAGAGAATAAATGTGTGTTTGTCTCTTTTGACAGGTCTAGAAAAAATGAAGGGTAATAATACATCATATATAAACGTGGATCTCTCTCTGGTGGTAAAGTGCATGGACCATGCATTAACAAGTCTCTTCCCTAAGACCCGTTATACTGCTGGAAAAGATGCCAAGATTTTCTGGATACCTCTGTCTCACATGCCAGCAGTTTTGCAAGACTTTTTATTGTTGAGACAGAAAGTAGACCTGGCTAATCCCAAAACGGTGTGACTCAGCTGACCACAAATGGCTGCCCTAGGCTATGAGATTGACTGATTCCCAGAGCACAGATCGTTTTCAATGCCTTACCTACTCCAGCCTTGACGTATTTAGAAGACCATTTTGATAAATAAAGGAATCCCACCACCAGTGGTAATTTCCCAGAGTCCTTTCTTTCTCAATCTTTTTTGAAAAGAAGGGCAGGGATAACATGTCACATGGGCAATACTTACCCAATATTTAGGCTTTGCATGCTTGCTATGATGTAAGAGACATGGAAAGATTTCCTCTTCCAAAATGATCTTCACTGCTGGCATACCCCTTACCTATAGTCCTCACCCTTTAGAGCAAGTCCTTAATTGTTCAAATCTTGTCCCTTATCAAAACATTAAGAGATTAAGTAGACTACTTTCATAAATGGATTACACATGTTCTGCTACCTGGCTGAAAAGAATCCTCCAAAGAACCAGAACACTGAGAACAAGAAAGGGATGTATAATGAAGCATTAGGAAACACTGGCCCCAGCTAAGGGGCAGTGGAAAATACTAGATGGAACTGCAAGTAGGAGAAGAGCAAAAGAGAAAGAGGAAGAGGGAGAAGAAAAAGAAATAGAGAACACAAGTAGAGTTAAGAAGACTTTAGAAAAACTCTACTACTCTACAGGGAGCTATGGAAGTTAAATATCTTGGTCAAGGCCACTGTGAATGCTGATGTACATGCAGATGTCTGGTGGAAAGACAGGAATAATAGACTAACAAGATACCAACCATTCCAGATAAGCAAAAATATAGAATATTTATGTCTATTCTGGTAAAAATACCAAATGCCAGCATATCTCAGTACAACTCATACTAGAGATGGTTGGCGGTCCTTCATTTGAGGTTTCCCATAAAAATAAATTAATTACAGGTTCTCTTTAGTCTACAACACCTTTAGTGTGCTCAGGCCTATTCCTTGCTCATCATATTCGTGGCTCCTGACGTAGCACCAGGAGCTCCTCAGAAACCCTATCCAGGGTCTGTATGAGTAAGAACTGATTCAACAGCACTTGACAACAACAAAGAGGATTGACCCAGGACTCATACCTCCTCCAAAGGAAACAGTATCCTATATGGATGCTTCCTCAGATCCCAGCACCCAGTACTACTTTCAAAGGTGTGTGTGAAGAAGTCTTGCTGTTGGTGCTGCTGCTGTGGAATGCTGTTGAGTTGGTTCCAACTCAAAGCCACCCTATATAGGGTTTCAGAGGCTTTACATTTCTGCAGGAGCAGAAAGCTTCATCTTTCTCCCTAGGAGTAGCTGGTGGGCTTTGGTTCAAGTCCAGTGCTTATCCTATGGAGCCACCAAGCATGAAGAAGCCTAGAGTGTCAGAATTCACTTGCTCTTTTTGCATTAATGAAGACGATTATGACATCATAAATTCTATATTTCTCTATGGTTTTATATATATTAGCCTTCTTATTCTTATTATTACTATTTTTACAATCGAGAAAAGTGGTACTCCTCTTTCTGTTACTCTTCTCATGATGAATTATTTCTAAGAATTCTTTGATGTGTTTGGATGTGAATTTTAGCCAGTTTATACCGTTTTTCCTTATCCACACATTAAAATATATATAAATGATAATTACTTAAAGAAAGAAAGAAAGAAAAGTGGGAATCAGAGTACCATCAGGAGGTAATGGGGCAAACTATCCTAGATAGCTCAGGAGACACTAATGAGAAGAATAAGAGGGCCTTAAATGAAATAAGGAGCCCTGATGTGGCACCATAAGATAAGCACTTGACCTCAAGGTCAGTTTGTACAGCAAGATAGGCGATTCAAACTCATCAGCTGCTCCTTGGAAATCCTATACAGGGTCACTATGAGTCGGAACTGGCTTCATGGCACTTAACAACAACAGCAACAACTGAAATAAGGTAAGGACCTCCTAGCATCACCATGCTATAATCTAATAAAACACTAGTAGGTGACCAGACTTCCCTCAAAGAAATCATCTAATCAGTAACTGTCTCACAGAGAGACTTCTGCTAACATCCTCAATATGACAAGTTTATGCTTCAATGCCACCAAAGAATACGGAGGTCATCTCCTTTCCAGCTCATTGTTGATTAGCTCTAGTTATTGTAATGTTCTTTATTATTTTTGAGTCAAAATCCATAAATGGGAGAAGAAAGGAGAAAAAACTGCTGTTCCTGCTACCATCATAATAATAATCACTCACGTTCACTGAGGCTTTATAAGCCACAAACCACTCAGAGGGCTGGACTTGTTTCTTTCTTTCTTTCTTGCATCATGTTTACAAGCTTTACGCAACACATATTTCTATGATCCCCTTTTACAGATGAGGAATCAGATTTCCAAGATTTTTTTTTTTTCAGCTCTAATAATACATGATTTCTAAATTGCCCATGGTAAAATGTTACAGCTCTTTAAAAATTTGGCAATGAATTTTATAACCCAAAATACATTCTTTCTGGCACTCTGAAGCTATCCTAATAAGAAACTCTAAAACTCTGAGAGTTGAGAGCATAAGACAAGCCTCCTGGCCAGTGGGATGCCCATGTTCTTGGACAAAGGTATGCAGGAACGATGGACAAGGGTATGCAGGAACGATGGACAAGGGTATGCAGAAATGATGGACAAGTGTTTGCAGAAATGATGGACACGGGTATGCAGGCTCTTCTCAATTTCCCACTCACCTCCACCTCCTGCTGAAAACACCTTTCTAAGAAATATGACTTTTTTTATGAACAGAAACATGAATACAAATGATTATCACATATGCTACCAACTGCAACACTTGTTCCTGAATGAAATGAATAAAAACATGGTAAGAAAAAAGTTCTTGCTCAGGGAGTCCCCCAAGGGCTCAAGTCTTCTGTGGATCCCTTGCTGGTGACTTCTTCACCCCGCAAGTTGTCAGCACAGGGAAAGGGAGGCTGGAAGAATTCTTTGAGTCCCCAAGTAGTTTGCCATCTGTGTGTGTACAAGTATCAGAAACATGTGCTCACTTTTTAAATCAGGTGTTATACATGGATATGCATAAACAAGAAACAAACCAGCGAATCAAGCTATGAAAACTGTACATTGGAAAACGTTAGCCTTCTTCCCACACCAGACCTCTAGTGCCTAGTTAGGAGTTCTTCATGTGTCCTTCCCCAAATGTGTAGATAAATATGTTGTTATTGTTTGCCATCTAGTTGACCCTGTCTCAGGATACTCCATACACAGCAGAATGAAGCATTACTGAATCCTATGCCATCCCTGTGATCAGCTGCAGATCACGTTGTTGTGTTCCATAGAGTTTTCATTGACTGATTTTTAATAAGCTATTGTGGAGTCCACTGAAGCTTTTACAGCATCATAGCAACACGTGGTGGTGGTTACACGTTAGGCGCATTGGCTGGGAATTGAACCAGGGTCTTGTATGGAAGGCGAAAACCCTACCACTGAACCATCATTGCTCTCATAGATAAATACTGGTCTATAGATATTCTCCTTGCATTCTCTTTCACATAAATGGCAACAGTACTAGTTCTACACATGTAGAAAGCACAACAGATTTTTAAAAAATTTAAATGTTCACAGTTTCCTTTTGTAATCTGGTCAATAGACAGTAGGATTCCATCAGTTTCCCCCTCTTGACTTAGAAAACCAGCAAACAAGTTCATTAAATAATAATAACCATTATTCTTTCATTAAGTATATCTAAAAGTTAATATTCTATACATCCTGGGTTCCACTCCAACTCAAACTTAATGCAGCAATTATCCTTACCTTTGGTAAAATGGAAAGCTCATTGGTGTCACGGTTAAAACACTCAGCTGCAAACCAAAAGATCGATGGTTTGAACCCATCCACAGGAGAAAACTGTGATGGTCTGCTTCTGTGAAAATTTACAGCCTTGGAAACCCTGTGGAGCAGTTCTACTCTATCCTATGCAGTCATTATGAATTAGGGTTGGTGCAATGGCAGTGGATTTGGGTTTGGGGTTGAAAACACAAGAAAGGAGAAAATTGTGTTGAATATAAGTTTCTAAGAGTGTCTGTCTGCTAGCAGCCATCTGCGGCACAACTATTGGTCTTTCCCCATTTGAAACAAAGAAACTTAAAGAAACTCAAAGACACAAGGACATAATTAGTCTAAAGAACTAATGGAGAGCTCAATCAGAAGTAAAAAGAAGAGGGGAAAAAAAAAGTATTCTCATACAATTTGATGAATTTGACCTACACCTATGGAAGCAGTAGCTCAAAAGAGGGAACAAGTCCTTACAGCAAGAATCATTCCCACCCCCTCCACACACAGAGTAGACAGGGATGGGCAACTTGGACATTGGCTATCCAATATGGGGGGCGGGGGGCTACAAAGGCAAGAAGTGACTGGTTTACAAGCTTTCAAAAGGGAACCTAGATCCAGAGGGCCTGGAGAAAGGTAGAATCTCCAGTGAGTAGTATTCAATCTGACTAGGTGGGGCTGATGCAATGAAATGCAGACGGATCTCTTGTAATACAATAGTGAATAATTGTTATCAGGACTGATTGTGAGGGTTGGAAATGTAAAGGTAGACGTTTTATAGCAAGGAGGGGAGTGATTAACTTTTCAGTCTAGGAGCGGAGGTCCCTAGGACCATCCAGGGAGAAAAGCAGATTGCGGGACCCTACCTAGAGAAGCAATGATGCCTGAAATGGAGGCAGAGACGATGATGTGGAGCGATGGAGCAGCTGGAGACTTTAGATCCAGAGAGGGAGAGCGACTGTGTGCTGAAGACCTGGAGGGTACGGGGGAAGGATTGCATGGAGGGGATTGTAACCATGGCAATGAGACAATATACAATAGAATGAATATATAACTAATGTTCTCCCATGTAAACTATCACATAATTCACAATAAAACATTTAAGAAAAAAAAAGAACTAATGGATCACATAAACTTCAGTCTCTATTACTTTGAATCAGAAGAACTAGATGGTGCCAGACTCCCACTTCTGAACATTCTGGAAGAGATCAC